GCTGGCCCAGGTGCGGCCCAGGCCCAGCGGCGCGGGCGGCCGTCAGCGCCGCGGCAGCCGCGGCCTGCTGCCCAGCCTGCGCCTCGGGCTTGAGCCCAGCCCCCGCCGCGCTGCTCGCGCCGCGCGCGGCCTCTGCCGGGCGCCTCGCCTGGGTGGAGCGCTCCGCCGCCGTCGGCGGGTCGGCGCCCTTGGGCGCGCCCCCGCTGGCTGAGCCTGCAGCGGGCCGCCCGTCGTCCAGCGCCGTGGCCCCGGCGTGCTGCGCGTCTGGCGGCGTCTGCTGCGGCGCGGCCTGCGCCGTCAGGGCCTCCGCCGCGGCCTGCCGCTCCTGCTGGTCCAGGCGCGCGCGTAGCCGCGAGAAGCGCCCCGCGTCGGCCGTGGCCTGCGCCCTCCGGCTCGCCTGCAGCTGGTCCTCCACCTTCTCGTAGAAGGCTTCGCGGCCCGCGGCCTCTGCCCGCTGCTGCTGGTGCCGCTGGTCCGTCTCGTAGCGCTCGGCCTCCGCGCGCCGCCGCCGCCGCAGCCGGTCGAGGTAGGCCTCCGCGGTCAGGGGCGGGTCCTCCTCGTCAGCCTCTGCGGCGTGGCGCTCTGCGCGCGTTCCCGCGGGCCGCAGCGCCTCGGCCAGGGCGGCGCCAAGGCGGGTGGGCGCCGAGCCGCGGTGGCTGCTGAGCGCCGCGAAGGCCGCCAGCAGCCGCTCGGCGGCGCGCCCTTCAGCGCGGCGCTGCTGGGCCCTGCGCGCGGCGGCGGGCCGGTTCGGCCGGCGCTTGCGGGGCGCGGCGGCCGCCTCCATGCCGCCTGAGAGGGTGCCGGGACGGCGGGGGGAGAGGGGAAGGGGCGGCGGCGCCCGGCGGCGCCCGTGGCGCTGGCTGGCCCCGAGCACCGCGCTCGTGCCAGCTGGCGCTAGGAGGAGCAGGAGGAGGAGGAGGAGGAGGAGGAGGAGGAGGAGGAGGAGGAGGAGGAGGAGGAGGAGGAGGGGGATGGCTTCGGTCAGGTGGAATCCGTCTGGCCGCAGATTTTGCGCAGGAGGAGGAGGGGGAAGGGGAGGGGGAGGAGGGAGGAGGAAGGAGGAGGAGGAGGAAGAAAGCGGATGCTGAAGAGGAAGATGACAAGAAGGAGGATGAGGAGGGCGAGCAGGAGGGCCAGATGCCTCATGGATGCCCCTCGGACTCCCTTCGAATTTCTTTCGAGAGTTCATTTGGGTCCTCTTGGGGCGTCTTGGGGGTCTCTTAGCAGTCCCGGGGGCCTCTTGAGGCGTCTTGGGTGACTGGGGGGCCTCTTGGAGCCTCTTGGGGGCAAGCATGCCAGGGACGCCTGGTGCGCCAGATGCGCCACGTGATCCACGTGCGACATGTGTGCTGCATTCTCCGGCCGCGCCATGTGCGCCACGCTCGGGGCACGCGCAGAGTGTGCCGGGTGCGCCTGCGCACGTGGCGCTACACATCGGGAAACGTGTCGGCTCCCACCATCGTCGAAAATCAGTGCGCAACCGCGGCGGGGTGGCCATCATAGTGTCTGGTGTGCCAACACCCCCGCCGTCCCAGCCAAAAACAAATGCACAGTGATCGCGGGGTGCCCGCGCATGATCCAGATTTTCCTCGAAGTCCATTTTGTATTGTTTTTCCGGACAGGGCTTAGACCCAGGGTTCTATTTTAGTTTGTTGCCCCCCGGTTTTGATGGCTGTAGGGCCGGCGAAATTATTTTGCGATAAATAAATAGACTCATCTTTCCATTCATACAATCGTAGAGTAAACCGGTATCTCGCTTCGCCGTCTGTTCTGTTTAAAAATTTTTTCTGTTTTAAATCTTCTTCGACACAATCCTCAACCCCTTCACTCCTTTCCCTCCCTTTTTTTATTCATCCTGCCGCTATTAGAGGCTCGCGTAGGCTGGCGATAATTTAGGATTTTGAGGATGTCCCCCTAATTAGCGAGGCCGCTTGTTTTTCAGAATTTGTTGTAGGATGTCTCCCCCGAGCGTAAAGCTTTCTGTTTTGTGTTTACTGATTGTTTTCCCTCTCCTTGGGGACCTGATTTCAGAGGATCTATCAAGTGAATTGCTTGTTTTCACGTGCCCAGGTCTTGAGGATGTCTCGAGCGAGACGCTTGGTTTCACGCCTCCAGGTTGCCCAGACAGATGTCTAGCATGAGGATTTGTTGAGTATGTCTCGAACCAGAAGCTTGTTTTCACGTGTCCAGGTCGCCCATGCGGATGTCTAGCATGAGGATGTGTCGAGGAAGTCTCGATCGAGACGCTTGCTTGCACGTGTCCAGGTTGCCCAGGCGGATGTCTAGCATGAGGATGTGCTCAGAACGTCTTGAGCGAAACGCGTGTTTTCACGTGTCCAGGTCGCCCAGGCACAGCACAGCCCTCGGCACGGTACATCAATATCGATAGCCTTAGTATTGCAGCCTGGCATGTTGCCTGGCACGTTCCGCGGAGCGTCGCGTGGCGAGTCCCCCTGGCACGTCGCGCGGTGCACGTCCATTGGCATGTTCCGTAGTGCGTCCTCTTGGCACGTCCCGCGGTGCGTCCCCATGGCACGTCCCCTGGCACGTCGCCTGGCGCGTCCCTTGGGACGTTCCGCGGCGCGTCCTCCTGGCATGTCCCCTCTGTCGATTAGTTCTGGGGCAGCTACCATCTGCTCAGGCAGCTCGAGCTTAAGATTCAGATCAGTTCGGTCAGGACTCGGGTGCAAAGAGGACTCGATCCACAATGATATGTAGAGCACAATCGCGGCATGGCACATCGCAGTTCAGCACGGCCCAGCACAGCACAGCTGCGGGCACGGTACATCAAGGTAGATACACTCAACATTGCACCTTGGCACGTTCCTTGGCGCGTTCCGTGGCGAGTCCACCTGGCACGTCGCTCGGCGCGTCCCCTGGCACGTCCCGCGACACGTCCATGGGCATGTTCCGTAGCGCGTCCCCTTGGCACGTCCCGCGGTGCGTCCCCATGGCACGTCTCTTGGCACGTCGCCTGGCGCGTCCCTTGGGACGTTCCGCGGCGCGTCCTCCTGGCATGTCCCCTCTGTCGATTAGTTCTGGGGCAGCTACCATCTGCTCAGGCAGCTCGAGCTTAAGATCCAGATCAGTTCGGTCAGGACTCGGATGCCAGGGAGGACTCGATCCACAAAGCTGTACGGAACACAATCGCGGCATGGCACATCGCTGTTCAGCACGGCGCAGCACAGCACAGCCCTCGGCACAGTACATCAAGATCGATACATTCAGCACTGCATTTGCCCGTCGCCCAATCAGCGTTGCCATGCCATACATTTCTATAATATTCCTTTCCGGGTTCGTGGGTCGATCATGTTGGCAGGGATGCTGTCCCTGCGCGCAGCAGGCAATATGCGGGCATCCCGCCGTCCCTATCAACAAATAACAACACAGTGCTCGCGGCCTCCCCGATCATGACACAAGATTTCGCCTCAAAGTGGACTTCACATTACTTTTTGACAGGGATGGTGGGGGGTCGGGGTCCGTATGGATCCTGGTGGGCTGCCGGCCGCCTGGGGGAGGAGATGGTTATTAGTAGGGAACAGTGATAGACCCCTCCCCGAAGGGGAAGCAGAGGGGTTGGAAGAGGAACCGCCCTACACCACTCACGTCCTAAAGGGCTGGTGGGATTCACCATGTCGTTGGGCAGGAGAGGAAGCTACCAGATTCGCCAAGTTGGACCAACGAGGCCGAATTGGATATCGTGAAGCAGTACGTGACAGAGCTGGTGCTTTCGCGAGGGGTTCGGCTCGACGAGATTGGGGTGATAAGCCCGTATAGGAAGCAGTGCTCGCTGATACGGCGGTGGCTCGAGGACCAGGGCTGGGGCGACATTGACGTCGGCACCGTGGAAGTGTTCCAGGGTAATGAGCGAGAGGCGATTGTGATTTCGACGGTCCGCTCCCAGAAGCGCGGCGACGATTTGCAGGCCGACATGAAGTATAGCATCGGTTTCCTGGGCTCCTTCCGTCGCACGAACGTGGCCCTCTCGCGCGCAAGGGCGTTGGTGGTCGTCGTGGGCAACGCTGAGCTTTTGAGCCAGGACGAGACATGGATGAAGGTGCTCGCAGAGACCGTGAGCATGGGAGCGCTGCGCACAAGCTCCGGGTGGATGACAGCGGCGCAGGCCAACCAGCTCATGCCATCCGTGGCAAAACACCGCGCGCAAGGCCTGCGGGAGGACGGGAGCTATACCTGGAGCGTGGACGCCACAGGGACGTTCCGTGTCTCGACGGACTACCAGCACTTAGTAGTAGCGGACGATGGGGGCTTGCGTCGCACGCAGGGCACATGTGGCTTGGGCCTCGGCACCGCCAACGTGGGTGTTGGTTTTTTCGAGGACGAGGAGGACACCGTCAATGCCGAGGCCGTCTGGAGGGAGTTCGACTGAGCGCCCAGCAGCTGGAGGCATTGTCCTGCACCCGCGCAGAGGGGAAGGCGGGGGGAGCGCGCACAAAGGGGGGACGTGAGGGGGGGCCTAAAAGGGCGGGGGGCTTCCCAGAAAGCGGGGGCCGTCTTCGCAGGACTCAGGGCCTTCTGAGAGGGCGTCTTGGAGGGCGGGGAGGACTTCGAAGAACACCCATGCCCTCTGAGAACCCCTCCGTGCCTTTTGGAAGGCCGCCCCCCTCGCGTCCCCCTCCCCCGTGTGCGCGCCGCCACAAAGGAGGAGGAGGAGGATGAACACGTGAAGGGATGGGCTGATGGAGGTCTGCCCGACGGGGATTCCGAGGACTGTCCAGAAGGCTTCGCCGTCTGCCGCCCGCACCTTGGATTGAGGCGGACTCCTCCCCCTCCTCCCTCCTCCCTCCCCTCCTACTCCTCCTCCTCCTCCTCCTCCTGTCCGCCTTACCACTCACTCCTGCCTCCTCTCCTCACGCCCCTCCTCCATCTCCTCCCTCCCTACCCTCCCTCCCTCCCTCCCTCCCTCACCTCCCTCCCGTCCCCCATCCCTCCCTCACCTCCCTCCGCCCTCCCTCCCTCCCTCCCTCCTCTCCCTCCCTCCCTCCCTCCTTGCTCCTCCTCCTCCTCCTACCTTCACTCCTCCTCCACGCCTCCCGCCTCCTCCTCCTCTCCTCTCTCCTCCTCCTCCTCCTCCATCCTCCTCTTTTTCTCCTTCCCGCGACCCTCCCTCCCTCCGCCCCGCTACCTTCTAGATCTATGTGTTATCCGGGGGGTGGTGGTGTTGGTTTGGAAGGTGTGGTGGACGGCGGGGCGGGCCGTATCTCATTCTCATGTAGCGCGGGCGCTGGGGCGTAGCCTGACGGGACCAATGGGGGGCGGGGGTATTGAGAGGGGGGGGGAGGGGGGATTCTGCTCCTCCGCCTCACTCCTCCACATCCTCCTGCGTGCCGCGCCCCCCCTCCTCCGCCTCCCTCCTCCCTCCCTCGAAACCCGTCCCGCACTCCCTCGACCCTCCCTCGCATCCCGCCCGTCATTCCCCTCCACCTCCTCCTCCTCCTCCTCCTCCCTACCCTCCTCCTCCTCCACCTCCTCCCCCTCCTGCATTCCTCCTTTCCTCCGCAGCCGCCCCTCCTCCTCCGCCTCCTCCGCCGCCTCCTCCTCCTTCTCCTCCATCACCCCTCACTCCTCCTACCGCCCCCCTCGCCCCTCCCTTCCTTCTCCCCCTCCTCCACGTCCTCCTCTAGTCCTCCATCCTCCTCCTTCTCCCCCTCTTCCGCCTCCCTTCTCCTCCTCCTCATGCCTCCTCCGCCTCCTCCTCCTCCTCCTCCTCCTCCCTCCTCCTCCTCCTCCTCCTCCTCCTCCTCCTCCTCCTCCTCCTCCTCCTCCTCCTCCTCCTCCTTTTGAGGCTCACAAGATTTTCTCTTGGCCAGTTCTGCCAGGGAGGTCCTCAGGTCTGCCTGGCTTGGGGCCCTGCCTGGCCCGGCTCGGACCCCGGTGGGCGGCGAGTCCCTCCAAAAGAGGCCTTCGCAGGCTTCTTTAAGTCGGGCGCGTCCCTCTACAGGAGGAATGTCCCAAACTACTTTAAACTAGTTTGGGGACTTTTTGTTGTTTAAAAGTAGGCAAGCGTATACTCATCATCATCATCATCATCATCATCATCATCATCATCATCATCATCATCATCATCATCATCATCATCATCATCATCATCACCATCACCATCACCATCACCATCATCATCATCAGC